CATGGGTTCGATTCCTTTCGGGGACTCAGAATTTTTCTTTGTCCCACGCTCGTGTCATGTTGATTAATTCACCTTCACATTTCATTACCGAGCTCAAAAATTCACCATCTTTATTAACTTATCACGAATAATATTGTTTTAATATGTTCACAAAGTGATCTCAAGATCATTTTCAAATTGACATGGTTTCCTAGCTGGTGGCTGATGTGGCTTGTTATGCAATGCCAGTCAATGGTGGCTATGGCAGAGGGGACTATAACTTTATTTTGTCATATAGCTGGAGTTTAGTTAAATCTAACATAGGCTCCCATTGGTTGATTTATGGTCACATGGCAATGGCTAAATCTAAATGTTGCTCAGCAGGCAATAGTTAAGCAATGTTGTCACCCGCTCTGAATCTCCCACCAACCATAGGTTAGTTTGACTTCTTGACTTATAACTTAAATAAAACACTAAACTCCAGCTATATAACAAAAAACTTAATCAGTGGTCTCTTGGGAAAGAGTTAGTTTTGTTTTCCTTCAAATCTCAACGCACCAAGCAGTCAAAACTAATTGCTTCCAAAGGGACCAGTGGACCATCTTGTTTTCTTGCCAACATGAAGAATTTTCACAGACATTAGTTTTACTGGCTTTTCTCCATTTCCTTCATGTTTGTACAGAATTTGTTTTCCAATAAAAAACAGTCTACGAAATGAAAGTGTTCATACTGAAACAAATACTTGACTGTGGAGATTACATAAGCTAGAAAAGTAACTTTTAAAATAACTATTTTAACTCTGTTAACTGTTCTTTTTACCCTAAAAAGATCTGAAGCTAAACTTGTTGTATTTCCAAAATTACTGATTCTGAAACACTGCTGAAACATGAGTTTACAAAGGCTATTTTGTTTCTGTTTCACTAATTTGGTAGGCAGTAGTGGGTGGACAATGTTAAACACTGAACAGTGTATAAAGATACAGTACTTACAGTACCAGAGAAAAGTGACCTGACAAAGAATAATTACTGGTAATAATTCCAACAGAAAGTGAATGCTGCATAGTATTGTGGAGAACATTTCAAAGGCTCGGTGGAAAAAGAGCGTGAGGCATTTTTGGCGGCAGGTCTTTTTTGCAGAGTGCAGGGTACAGGTTGCAGGTTGAAAGTAAATTATAACTGGAAAACCACTGGCACTTAAAAGAAACGTACAGGTGGTAGACTTACTGTGACTGTTACATGATGCTGTTTACAATCGCTCAGAAAGGTGGCTTCTACCTAAGTGCCAAACCCGCCAAAGCGATGGGAGGAGTATATTCCTATGATTTTTAGCCTGCAATGAATTATTGTTTTTGAAGAAACATCTGAAATATCATCTGAAATATTTCCACTAAAGCTGACTTGTGCGAGTGTTTGTTTACAACCGCTTTTTGATGTTCTTTGAGCCGGGTGGAAATTTTTCGTTTCGTTTCTCCGATGTAGCTTTTGTCACAACCTTGACAGGGAATTGAATAAATTGCGCCACGAGTCTGATCTTTTGGGACTGGGTCTTTTGGTTTGGGAAATAAATTACCAATGGTATGGTGTGGTTTTAAAGCAACTTTGATACTGTAATTGCTTAGGATTCGCTTAATCGGTTCCGTAGTGCCCTTGACATACGGCAAAATGCAGAAACCTTTTTTGTCATCCGGTGGAGTTGCAGGTGTTTGTTGAGAAGGCCGCTTCGGTTTACTTGCATGAATAACAAAGCGTTTCGGGCAGCCATTCGCCCTGAGTGTTGCGATCACGTTTCATTTCCTTTGATTGTTGGTCAACAGAAGATGGGATAGCTTTTGCACAATCAGTCAGAGACTTGACCACAGCCCTTTTGTGAACAGCCTGATGGTGAGAGTCAAACAAGAGATATCTTTCTGTGTGTGTCAGTTTGCGATAGACTTTAGTGGAGAGTTGGCCATCATCTTGTCGACAGACAGTGACGTCAAGAAAGGATATTTTCCGTTCTGTTTCTCTTTCAACCGTAAATTGGATAGACGGCTCGATATTGTTCAAATGACTCTGTAAGGCTAGCACCAGGATGGATTTAACAACGGCACACACATCATCTACATATCGTTTCCAAAAACATGGTTGGGAAAGAGAGGTGGGTAGTGCTCGTTTTTCAAGGTCTTCCATGACCAGGTTTGCCATAACAGCAGACACTGGAGAGCCCATGGCGGTACCAAAGATCTGTTGGTAGTGATTGTTGTTATACTTGAAATTTGTTGACGACAAACAGAAATCCAACAGGTCAACAATGTCATTGACAGGAATGGTGGTTCTACCCTGCAAAGTGTCGTCATTGGAAAGCAAATCTTTAGCAACTTGAATGGCGAGTTCCACAGGAATAGATGTGAACAAAGAGACAACGTCAAAGGAAACCAGCTCTTCATCTTCTTTGAGTGAGACATTTTTCATCTGTTCACAAAATTCCACACTGTTCTTGACCGTGAAATCTGTCTTGCCCATCATAGGACTCAGGATCTGCGCCAAATGTTTCGATAACATGTAARTTGGAGAGTCTATGAACGAAACAATAGGTCTTAAGGGGAAACCAGGCTTATGAATCTTTGGTAAACCATAAAAACGAGGAGGCAGTCCATCAGAACTGCGAAGTCCTTTGTAAAGACTGTCACTGATCTTGTTCTCTCGTTTAAGATTGGCTAATTTTTCATTGAGCTTCTTCTCCATTCGCTTTGTAGGGTCTTTATCTAACAACTTGTAGGTTCTTTGGTCATTGAGCATTTGCTGTACCTTGTCGTCATAGTCCTTGTGATCCATGACAACAGTACAGTTACCCTTATCTGCAGGGATAACGAGTCGGTCTTGGTCTTTGCGGAGATTGTGTAAAGCTCTGAGCTCGGCTTGTGGCAAGTTTGGAGGTGGTACGGTGGCTCTTTGTAAAACCTGCGAAACTTGGGATCTTAACACAAGTTTATCGTCTTCCGGTAGTCCAGAAATACCGTCTTCAATATCGGCTACAATTTCCGCTGTTGGTATTTTCTTTGGAGCTAAGACTCGAGAAAAGGAACTTGCTTTGGATTTCTTAAGGTCACGTCTTCTGTTGACCAACAATCAAAGGAAATGAAACATGTGATCGCGACACTCAGGGCGAATGGCTACCCGAAACGCTTTGTTATTCATGCAAGTAAACCAGAACGGCCTTCTCAACAAACGCCTGCAACTCCACTGGATGACAAAAAAGGTTTCCGCATTTTACCGTATGTCAAGGGCACTATGGAACCGATTAAGCAAATCCTAAGCAATTACAGTATCAAAGTTGCTTTAAAACTACACCAAATTGTATGTTAGTACTTTATGACCAATCTTTTTCTGTCCAAGATTTTAAAAAAGGTTTGACCCTTTAGACTCTGACAAATGAGGTTTGAAATATGGGAAACAATCTGATAAGATAAAATAATCACTTTGAGTTGGTGAGAGGTTTATTCATTTAGTATAGTACAGCTTCCACCAACTTATTTAGTTGGACGAAGCTGTTCTACTTTAATTAACTTACCTGCTTTAGTAATTCTCCTATAATCAAAACATTTGAAGTTGTTCCATCACCTGTAATATCATCCTGGGCAATTAAGGCAGAAAGTAGACATCAATAATTACTGCTAACACATAGTAATTATAATAATTATGAAACATGACAGTGATCCACTTTATGTAAGATGAAAATTTTATGTACAGATTTATAATTGTCTGCCGGATCAAATAATCACATCAAGGTTTTGCAGTGGGGACCACAAAATGGTCAAAATGTACAAAGTGAAATTTTGTTCCAAAGAATGATAACAGCCATTAAAGATACATTTTTTCCTTAATGGAAAGGAAATTGTCATGAATTGTGCATGTACAAGGATTGGGTTGAAACTTGCAAAGTTCAGGTTGAATTTTCTAGTTTGATTCAGTGGAAACAGTAATTGTCTGGGAACAAGGGGACACTATACTAGAAAAAGGTATTTGACGATTATTCATGTTATAGGCAGGGCTTCTGATAGGTCCTGGAAGAAAAAGTCAAATTTCGCGGGATTTCCAGAGACAAATTTGTGGAAAAAATGGCCGATTTCGCAGGAATTTTCCAAGCAACTTTCGCTGAAAAACGATCAGTAAAAAATGGCTGATTTCGTGGGAGTTTTCTGGGAAAATTTCGCTGGAAAGCAATCAGTTTTGCATTGATTTGATGAGCTTTTGTAACTAAAAGAGATAGCAATTTTGCCAATTTTTTTTCGGGAAAATGATGAGTGTTAGCCTGTATGCAACAACAACAGCAACAGAAACTCACACTACTTATAAGTGTTGCCTTTGTAAAACCAGTGATTTTGCAGGAAAATTTGAGCAACTCGTTTGGGCTATAGTACAGTACGTGTTTGAATTTGTTTGACAACAAGGTTCTTTTTAACAGAAATCATAATTTGCTCTTTTAACAACAATGCACTCGAGAAATGCACCAATGGCAAAGCTTTTTACATCGTGGCCACAGCGAGTGCCCAGTTTTTCGCAACATTAATCTAAGAACACCTGGTAGTTTTTGGAAGTTGTTTACTCATTGTAGTGACAAAGTTTGGTGATAAATTTGCAAGTTTATGCCGACTAAACAGCCCCGACAGCCAAGATAAGTTTCAATTATGTTGCATCGACATGTATTTGGTATGATTTCCATTGAATTTTGCAGTATTTTGTGTGTTTTAGTGAATTTCGCGGGATTTCGCGGATTTACTTGAAATTTGCGGCTCTGCGACCATGTGAAATATCAGAAGCACTGTATAAGAGTGGCTGCTAGATGAGCTCAAGAACTCTTAATCCAAATTTGGCCAATTTGGCCAAGTGCTCATATTTTGCCAGAAGATACCCAAGGCAATTAATTTTCAAAACTCATTATTTTAAACATTCCAAGGATTTTTTTATTTCTTCAAAATTTGTAGCCTGTTCCAGGCTTTCATTCAATGGGAACAATAAAAAAGCAGGTGGGTCTTGGAGAGAAAAAGGCAAGGGTGGGAGAGCATGTAAGCATTGTTTTTTTTTTTAAAAAAAAGGAGAGAAAGAAAGCGTTCATAAGATTTTGAAAACATGGGTATACTGCACTTGTATTGTGCTAGTTTATTTTGAGGCCTGAGAAAAGGAAAATCTTACTCATCTGGTCAAGTAATTTGTGGATTCTACTTGTCCCAGCAACAAACAACTTGCCTCAGACGTGCCGAAGGGTGAAAGTTTTATGCCAGTGAAAGAACTTCCTAGTGAGGGCCTATTGCACCTTGGCAAAATTTCAGAAGTTTGTTTTTAATTCCATGTATTAGTGGATTTACATGTAAATGTTTTCACATGGCAACCAAGCAAGCTTGCCATGTGAGCTGTGCAAAGATGTGCAAATTTATCAATTGTAAATATATATCATTGATATCTATTCTTTGCTTATACATAAGCTGAAATAGAAAAAGAACAATTTCAGTATTTGAAAACAGTAAAATTGAAGATTTGTCATGGAAGAAAAAAGTCAGCTTGTTGTTTCATGTCAAGTCGTAATTTGTTTTCCCACCTGAGCTGTAGCCACTCTTGCAATTAAGGAAGCTGTAGGGTGTTGAATTTGCTGTTAATTTAAAAACAAAGCAAATATCTATTTAGTGACAACAAAAAATAAATCATTTCTTGTATAGTTGTGCCATGCCATGCCACTGTGTGATATTCTTTGTTCATAATACCATTAGCATTGTTTACAGGGCAGATCAATCATGACAAGCCATAATCAACATGTGTAACTCTTTAAATACCTTCATCAACTGGGCCTTTGTTCAGTGCAATACTTGTACCGAATCATGATTTCATTTTTTTTTTGTTTTTGGTTTGGTGACTGAGCAAAACAGCCACTGAAATTACAAGAGTTTGATTATATAACATTCTTTGGGTATAATTTTCTGAAGGCTTTTGCTATGCTTCACACAAGCATTTTGAGAATAATACCACATAATTACATTGAATAATTCCAAGAAAAACAAAAATAATAATTCAGACACTGGTTTCCTGTTGCATGCTATCATAAGTGTATCCAAATTTTCTCCACAAAATAATAGAAAAAACTCTTTTCACTTTGCACTGCTTGTGAAACTACTAGAATGAGAAATACCTTGAAGGACACACCTTGTTTTGAACTCCATACAGCTTAGGAATAAAAATAGCAACCTGTCCCTTTGCATTCTTGTGTTTTGTTTTGTTGTTGTTTTTTTCAGCGCAAAATGGTAATTTCAGGAATGTTTGAATTTGTTTCTGAAGTCAAGACATTGCTGACTCTTGGAATCCATTTACTAGTTGGTATTCCTTTGGATGTTCCTTGTTAGGTTAATTCTGTCTGGTACTGTACATGTAAAGGTGTTGTGGTTATGCAAAATGACCTTTTGATTATTGTTTAACCCACCATTTCATGGAGTAGTACATTTCCATCTTTGGTCAATTTTATATCTCCTGCACCTGACACTAACCTATCACAATAACAACAGTTTCATGTGAGTTATTCTCATGACTTGCAAGTCAACAGAAACTGGCGCTGTACGTCATGCAGTATATCAACAAATCTTGGTTTATAGAGTTGACCTCTACTTGCTAACCATAAAACAAGGCAACCAAATCTAAAGGAAACTACTGGACTTTGTCAATATGTTAAATATCCATCTGTAAAACCTTGGTAGTTCATATAAAAAGGCTGATTTTAGTGGTTGAAAGTCAGCTCAACCCTCCATGTTTTAATTTTTTTCCTTATTGGCCATTTGGCCACTAAATGTTTATTTTTGGTCGCCAGAGAAAAATCTTAGTCACCAACGTATAAAAATTAATTGAAGGGGTGAGTGCAAAACCATGCTAAGTGACAATTTGGGTGAAAAAAAAAATTTTTTCGAAAGGGCTTGAATTTTTGCATGTGGTCTTCAATGTAATAGAAAAACGTGGTCCTGTATTTTTGTCGCTGGGTTTTGCTTCGTTTATAAAGACGCCACTAGGAAAACCGAGTGGTTTTTCTACATACACAATATCTCAAAAACGAAGCGAAGCTTAGCGGAAAAACTACAGGACATTGTTAAACATACCTAAACAAAACTGCATGCGAAATTTGGAG